ACGGGAGCAGTGGAGACGTTCCGGCGATAGCTGAGCAGCTGAATGTCAGCGCTTTCAAGACGTCGCATACCATTTAAACGTCGGGCCTACTGTTGCTGCTCAAGGTAATACTCGCCGCAGCAATGGCCCTACCCGAAGTCGTGGCATACAGAGACCCCAAGGGAGAAATTTTGAAGATTTCATATCTATATTTTCAATGAAATACCAGAACCTTGGGCTAGGAAATGACCCTCTCAGTATTTCCTACTTCGAAATTAAAAGGGTGCCCGAGGGTGGTAGCTAAGCCTCTACCCGGACAATCAAGGAAAGAAAATTTCAATGACCTAGTCGAAGCTTTGCATACAAAGATTAAGATTAACGAATCGTCCATAAAGGCGTGTGTGGAACTTAATAGTCTGCCAAAATTTGGAGGCATGACGAGGTATTGCTTGAACCGATAACCGAAGAGGCATACCCGACCCTCACGAAGAATAATTGTCGCGCACTCGAGCAGGGGAGCTAGTAAGTCAGTTAATGGACTGGCTAAAATATCTTCAATACTTTAAGACTATGAAGATTGCTTCAAATGAGGTAACTTACGGATGGCAAAGGCTATGGCACAAAAATGCGAGAAAAGTAAGGAAGTGGCAATTGCGATGCGAAAAGCTCCTGCAGATTACACTCCTGCCAAGTGGAACAACGACGCAAGGTTACTCAATGGTTTGGAAAGACTGCTGCGCAGAAACCTGTAGTAACACCAAAGAACATGAAAACCATAACGAAGCAGCGCCTGTGAAGGAGCTGGGAGGAACCCTTGCAAAATGCTACAACTGTAACAAATAAGGACACCTGAGGAGCTACACACTTTCGAAGAAGCTCAATCGGACGAAAAATAGTGAAGAGCGGCCAACAGCCAGGAAAGTCGAAAATAATCACTTCGTCCTTGAAAAAATGGATCTGCGGGTCAAGGTTTAGAATAAGTGCGAGGAAGAAAATACCACGGATATTCATCTCCCATATGCTCTCCTCTCCATTCCACATTAGCCAACCTAGTACATATTAGATAGGGGTCATTATATTAGGTTGTTCGGAAAGTAATGCGGGTTTCGAGATGCCATGCATTCATGAAATATTTTTATACTGATATTTCATTCGAGACCTGAAGCCCTATATATCATTGGCAAGCCTATTGTATCTTCTTTCCTTGAGTGTACTTGAGTTTCAATATGGCTTTCTATTTCGGGATTTTTATAGGCAGT